TCAAGAGCCCCTTATCTCTTTGACTTTGGTTATCTCTTTCGGTAGTTCCAATTTGCACAAAGTCCTTTAAATACCCCCAAGGCTTTTAGCGACCGTTATGTAAGACATACCGTTGACCGAACATGAACAGCTTCCGAATTCCATCACTACAGACATCAATTGTTCTGAGCGCTTTCTGACCTTTTTTTCATTTTTTTTGCCTGAATATCTTCTAGAAACTGGCGCAGGTCCTTGAAAAGCGGAATCAAGGCTTGTCGAGTAAAGTGGGTGACTGAAGAGTACATCCACATTACCCAAAATTTTGAGTGTTTCCAGATAAGTGCCGGAGATGTTTCTGCGTCCATCCTCCTGAAATATTGAGTTTTCCTGCAAAATAATTGATTATCCTGCAAAAACGCTTGAAGAGTCGAATGTCAATCACGAACAGCTAAAGTCAAGTACCAGTTACACAAAAGAACTTTGCAAACCAAATGTTTCGACTTCGCTTATTTTCCCACCAAGACGGAATGAATCAAATATGTGAAATATGGAAAAGATGTTGCTGGGGAGAAAGCGCAACCGCTAGCACCATCGAAAATAAGATAATGTTGAAGGGTTTGGCACTGTCCACTCATCTCCCAGACGAATGTGGTACCAACTTGCTCGTCATGGAAAGATGAAACGCTTGATCGACCCGCGTCCGATTCAATCCGGGATGTGAACTTAAATCATTGACGTTCTAATAGGTGTCATTTGCTGCTACATCAGCTCGTTGGATTCATATTCTGAAAAAATGTCTACGTGACCGCATTTGAGAACTTTCTCTCTATTGAAACTCCAGGACGAGCGCATATTCCATAGTCGAGTACTTTCGCGGGTTTCTAGCTTTAGCTTTTTTTTAGTTTTCTTCGACGGTGGAAAACAGAGCAATGCACATATTTGGATACCCCCTGCAATGAGCATGTCACCCTCGCCTGTTTTCCTCCCTGAGAATCATCCACCTCCACTTCATACATGTGTGGCTCGTTAGCGGAATTATTCGCGTTCTTAGTTATAGATGGAAGTAACTAAAATCCAGATTTCATGTCCCACTCCAGTAGGAGAACAACTTCCAGAGCAACAGGCACGCTGAGCAGCAACAGGCACGCCAAGCCACTAACATTTACAGGGGGGGGGCAAAAAAAGACACTTCGACCGAGTCACATATCAGCAAAGTTTTCGCAGCCCAGACAGAGGACGTGGATACGAGTACCAGGGGAAGATACCCAAGATGTTCCTCTATAAGCAGGAGCTGGCTCTCGCCCATCACCTTCATGTACACCAAAATATGAAGTCATCTCCAGTCGCAGCCTGACTGGAGAAGCCTTTGGAATTCACGTCACTCCTAAACAGCTGTCACCCATGGATAGCTACCTGGAGACCAGTACTCTTGATCTGGAAGACCTCCAACATCGAGCAGCTCCGACAACGTCGCTACGGTCCAGGATATCATCTTCACCGCAGTCGCCAAGGCGCGGGTTGATGGTATGGACCGGACGTACCTGGAATGGAAAGACCGATATTTTCTTCGTGGACCCCGGACTGGTGAGCGCTGGCGGTTACATCGAGCAACTCGAGAAGAATATCCTCCCCACATGTCGTCGCCCGTACCTTCTTGGAAACTTTGTACTGCTACAGCATTGGGTGCCACATGGAATCGAAGGGCGTTGGAAAACTCTCGCCTACTTGGAATGGAAGGGCGTTGAGTACCTGAAGAAGATGGAATATCTAAGCAGGTCACCTGAACTAAACCCCCTCAATTATACACCGGTTCGGGCGGAGTTCAATAGGTGGTCCAAACAGTGGCCGCAGAAATCAACTAAATCGCTGAACTCAGGTACCCACTCACGGTCGCGTGGCAGAATCTCTCGATGGCGCTCCTCCAGAAGGCTGTGGCGGAGTATCATGATAGTATTTATATGCTCTTTAATATGGTGGTAGAAATGTCCGTCAGCAATATTGATAAAATTGCAACATAGCGCCTCGAAAGACAAGGAAAAAAATGCGCCTTTTTGCCCCCCGCGCCCCCGGTAGTCGTGTTCGTTTTATGTTCATTTCTGACCGTCCTACCAGACTCCAATAGGATCTCATTTATATAGTGGGCTTTTTTCTTATTCTTTTTTGGGCATTCTCTGAAGTAAAAGCATCCAGGAGCTCAGTTCATGTGGTTAACTTCTTGAAAATTGCAGTAAATGGTCTGGGATGTATGGTGAAAGTATCGTAGCAAAACCGAGAAAGAATTAACTACGACGCCATGCCCGGCATGTTGACCGATCATGTGGAAATTACATACGTGAAAGGTACGTGCCAGAACTTGCTACTCTTTAGTTTGAGGCCCGCCTGTGATCGATTTAGAAGTCGAAACCTGAATAGAGGCATATCGTACGTTCAATCTCCACCAAAGGGACTTCCATTTAGTCTTAGAGGAAAGGTCATATGCTTTTGGGAGATGTTGTGATGATCTGTCGGCGTCTTACTCCATATTCGTGTTCATACGCGATACACCCCCCCCCCCTCCGCTCAACGGCAGTATTTCGCTGGAAAAAAGAGCAACTTCTGAGAAAAATGAACCTATAAGAAAGGTAGAAAATCGCGGCAGTTTGGCAGCATGTCAGGAGAGCATGCGGAGATGAAAGGTGTCTGTGCAGAGGGTACAGTCGTCATCCTTGCACTTGATAGGTCCAACGTTGCCGGCAGAAGGAGCTGACACTGTTTGAAGCCTTCTCAGCCTTTCGTTGAAACGCGTATGCGACAAAAAATGATAGAAAACGAGTAACACGAAGGATATAATACAGTAATGTCACGCCTCTGGCTTCAACGGATTCGTTGCAGTACGGGTCTACGACCGCGCCGCACGCAAGCCGCACTTGACATGACTATCAAGTGAAGGATGGCGACTGTACATCGAGGAGCCGTGAAATTAGCAAATTTCTCTCAGCTGCAGACCCTGCCGCTGATTTTGAAACGTGACGTGCAACAAAAGCCGTCCCCGCCAACGCCACGTGTATTGCCTGTACTTCTTAGTGAGCTCTAACTGGCTTGTTTCTCCATCGGATGTGCTTTCGACTACTGTATCTGCTTCGCTTCCTCCGCTGAGCTAGACATCAGGATCTGAAAGGAAAATGTCAATACGACCCCCACAAAAACCTCCTTCCCACAACGATCCGTCCAGAGCTCCCCTCTCTGGCACGACCCTTTCCTTTCCTTACTGCCAATTTACCATATCTTTTCATCTCCCTCCATTTTAAAGAATTTTTGTCACGGCAGCAGTGTCGAGAGAGGCCGAGGAAAACCCAAAAATTGAAGTTCCTAACAGTAGCGTTTCTTACACTACAGTAGCTTCCTGGCCCACCAACTGAAAAGGGGGAGGTATAGAATGCGTGTGAACGAGAAAAATCAGGCAGTATGCCAGTGGTTAGGAGTGTAGTCTGATGCTGTACTGACCCAGTCTAGACAGTTAAGAGTGTCTAGGTCGATGGTCTGTACCTGCTCAGCCACTAAGTCATTCGCCGCGCGAACCATGCCGTGCAGAAATTGCAAGAACTGTGACGATACCTACGTCATCATTCTTGCAATTTCACTGGCTGACAAGCCCACTGATGAAGAACCCCGACATAACATCGGTGATAAACGCAGAACCATATCAAATCACGTCCCGATTCTGCATCATAGCTTGGACGGCGCATCCCTCGGCTATCATTAGCAAGCAACCAGTTATTTCTTTACTCTGTGCGTTGATGGTCAGCTCAAAATGTCAAAAGTATCTGTTGCACGTCCTTATTGAAATACGAGACTGCGCCCGCGAGTGAGTAATACGAAGCGCTCCGATGCCCTCTCCGCTCCGCCAATGTTTCGAAGGACACCTTTGCTTCCTGAAAGCTTCTCGTGAGGTCTCAAATACACGAGGCCAGGATGGGGTCATTCAATAGATTCTCCAAGTGATACCCCCTACCAGTAAGTCTCAATAGGTAACTGCTCGAAGAGATTGCGGTGTTACTGTGGAGAGTACATTCGGGCCTTATTAGAACGAAGAGATCTGGAGCATTGCCGCGGTCTCACCAGTGCATCCCTCATCGCGGCACAGAGTTCTGTGGATGAGGTATCGCACGGCTACCAACTTCAAGGGCACAGTCCATACTGATCGTGTGGGCGGAGCCAGGCCTGTCATTGTGCCTTCCACGCTGGTGCTTTTCCCTCCTCCACCACCTTAGATCTATGGGCACACTGGAGAGGGCACATTGCTCGACTGTCTCCACTTGATCAGTCATTGCTTTGCTCATTGAAGCGACTCTCTTCCATACCATCATACAAAAAGCATTTTTACTAGTGGGGGATGCTCAACTGTTAGCTGTCCCCGCCCATTCACTCAGCGTAGACAGTGATTGTAGCGCGAGTGGCTTGTTGTCATAGTGTTTATAACTATTCGTGCAGTAATATTAAAGAAAATGTAAATACCGCTTTCCTTTTGAGATCCAATGGTGAAATCGTAGATGGCGTAGACATTCGATGTCCAGCAAATGCACCAATTTATGCACCGATTGAGGGCGAGATGTACTTCTGGAGACCATTCGGTGGAGCAGCTGACAAATCCTGCGCCGATCATGGAGCGCGTATTGAAGGCACAGGACAATGGCAAGGTATTTCCTCGTTTATTTCCTCATTTATTCCATTCTAGTCTTCCACCAATGTAGGTGAACAGGGTGGAGCCCAGAAAAGTAAAGTCGGGTGTCAGTGACGCAGAGGATCATGTGAATCTCTGACATACTGAGCCGCTTTTCTCGCCTTCACTTTTTCGTTTTCGTGCGAAGTGCCCTCACTGCTGGCGATTTCAATAATTAAAAATGGATTGTAGAAACAGCAAATCGTTAGAAGTAAGTGCTACACCAGACAACAAAGTATCCTCTATGTCTCTGCCCCTCTCTAATAGCCAATCGATCGCCACTAGACGATGTATAAACACGGAAGGAGCTAACATACAAGGGGGGGGGGCTACATAGTGCGCTGCGTTTCTTTCCCTTGCCAAAGCTTAGTCGTGGAGACGGATGAGAGTTGCCACGGATTAGTCTTGCAGTGCAAACTGTCTCTACGCAACTCCGACCGTCTGTGCTCTGCGCCTGAGCTTTGGCTAGGGAAGAGGCGTTGTGGAGTGGGTGGTCCTCATCCCCCCCCCGCAGCACGTTAGCGCCACACGATCAAAATCCTCGCTTCAGGCTACGCTATCCATATCTCATCGGTGAAGCTGGATTTCTACGGCGGCAAAGTGAAAGCTGGAGATGAAATTGGCAAGGCTGTTGACAGGTACGTTCATGAGACTGGGAAAAGAAAAAGTGGAAACATCATGGGGCCCTATGTAAAGCTTGGTGAGTAGCATTTGTTACTGCTTTTTCCTGCGTTCACTCCGATGCTCTTGGTGAAGAGTGTAGTTGCGAAGCTGTCTGACGCTGGGGAGGTGGAGAGCACTGAATGGCAGTCAGCTGAGCACGTAACGTCTACCTTGTGAAGATCGGATATTCCTGCGAGCGAACTGGTTCACTTTCTCCATCTCGCAGCTTCACAGGAGTTTATAGGGCTCACCAGAGCGAAATTTGTTTAACATGAACTAAAAGGGGCTAGCAAAAGCGCAAAATGCCCCCTCTAAGCCGAACAGCGCCAAGTTATGCATTCAAAATATCTGTACTATGGCTGTAATCATCTACTCACTGGATTTCAAAGCAGATATCATTTTACGTATATTTCCTGGATAAATCGATAATTATTTAGGAACTGTTTTGAGCAGGACTCACAGCGTGAGGTGGAATCGCATGTGGAAATGAAACTCTTTAGAGAAGGAAAATTGATCGATCCCACCTATCATCTTCAAAATTGTAAGTTACTCTCGGTGGTATTCCAGAGGGGATAGCGTTGTCTTGAGGCTTGGTTGGTGTAGTGGCAGGTGTCATGCTTACCATGTGCAGTGCGAGGGTCAAATTCCGGATCGGCTCACGCCAAGGCTTCCACCTTCCACATATGGTGAATTCAACAGATTTCCCTGGGAGGATAAGAAAATTGACTTGTACATCGGATGGCTCCAGCAGTCATTGTATAGGCCACATCGCATTCAATAAGCCACTACGATTCTGAATGGAAGTAGAATGCGTGCCGGTATCCCAGAAAGGGATTGATCCACTTCGTCCTTTCTCAGGCCTGAAGACAGCTGGGACAAAAGAAACGCATAACCAACCAACCAAAACAAATCAGAGATCGTTTTTACGTACCCTTTCAGGCATGTGTACTGGACAGATTTGCGAGTCGAACTCTAAGAACAAGCTGCTCGGCGAGCCGTTCAAATCAGATAAGTAAGGAACCTCAAATGTTTCTAATGTCACAGAAGACCAATGAGATCGATTGATATCAATTAGCTTATGAGTCTCAAGTGTCTAGGAGGTACAACGGCGTCCGTGGATGGGACATTGAATGCCGGATGGTCGAGGATGAAGATGGCGGTGAAAAGCGAGCACCATTGATCTATTCACCTATCGCCGGAGAGCTAGTAGGAAGGTACGTTCAACTCGAAAACCGGTGCCTCCCGATCAATCATGCTGATCAATTGAAATTTAGGACTCGATTGACGTTCGATCCAAGCGGATCGTATTCAGGATGCGATAACGATGGCATGTTCATAGTGGGTACTGGAGACTGGATCGGTATGTTTGTGCTGATGTCCGGAAAAAGTTCCCTTTGTTGACACCTCTTTTTTGAGTCAGTGTTATTTAATGTACATCCAGCGGCAATTACCATCGGGCGTAGCGTACACACAAAACTATAGCCTTTCTCATGTGTGGCTTTCCATCTAATACGGTAATGGAAGGGGCGCAACATATTGGAGGCGTTGTTGTTTGAGCCTATCCACACGGCCGCCTTGTCTTGTGCCTTCTAACTTAGAGATAAGAGGATGAGTGGCTGATAAGCCTTGTCTGTCTACAGTCAGACCTGTGTACGCTAGAATGAACGATATGTCCAAGAATCGCGTCTATCGATGAAGTGATAGAGAAACCTTTTCTAATGAACCCATTTGGAAATGAGTACAGCAGAAAGAAAGCGAAGAAGAACCCTGCTTCCGTCCAAGTCTCTCAAAATCTGAATCTAGTCAAATCTGCCACTTTGGAATAGTTCAAGCGTGTGGCTGTGAAACGGCTAGGGAGGGTTCGTAGCGCTTTTTTTAATCTATTTATGAACATTTGGGATAAGTGCTAGCAACTTCAGTGTCTCCTATACTGATCCGTGGCGCCAGTCCTTTCCTCAAGCCACTCATTGGGACGGGTAAAGAACTTTCTCACTTCAGAATGCCGAAAAAATAGCGCGTTGCAGGCTGGGGCGAGTTACGACTGCATTCGCACCCGGGGGACCCAAATCCGCCCTCGACGTAGCAGTGCTCGGCGCGGTCTTGACTGTCTCCTACTCTCTGCGTGGCATCTATTGGGCTGAGCGTGTGATGGCGTTGATAATCACGACATGGGGTCGTATTTTACCGTGAAGAAGGGGGCCGTATCTGGTCCGAGTAAAATTTTTTGATAGTTTTTTCTCTTGCTTTTTGTTCTTGCGAATTTTGAGAGGGAGGGGCTGTTTGGTCGTTGTTGGAAAGGGCGGTTGTAGTTCGTTGTTCGGGAGAGGGGGTCGTGTTGGAGGTGCGCGATAGGGGTCATATTTGTTCAAGAATTATTCACCAACGCGATGGCGTGTCCTGGTTCCGCATCAGGCGATGGATGCCTTCTTCTCTCTCTCCTTCGTCTCCCTCTCTTCTCCCTCCCCTCTCTCTCTCTCTCTCTCTCTCTCTCTGCATTTCTGTCTGTCTAGTCAACTAGCTAAGAAATACTCTGCATCTCTGCCGCGCTGTCGCAACTGGGAAGTAGCGCTCTACACCTCTCATTGAACAAACGAAACCTTAACAGCGAATGGAAAACGGCCCGTGCCAACCCATGCCCACGTGCCACGCTGGCTGACACGCCCCGGCTGACTACAGTGATAACGACTGAAATTCTCTTACTGCAACTCTCGCTAGTTTTTGCTCAAGATTACAGAAGTCGCCAATACTGTTAAGCGAGTTATTACTGGACTTGGCTGTCTCAAAAGTCGGGCACCAATCGATAACTTGGTTATTTTTTTCTACACTTCGGAGACAGGACTTGAAAATTTATTTGCAAGTGATATATACAGCGCCATGTAGAAAACTCTTAATTTTTTTTCTAACCGTCGGTGGGAAGTGACATGTTGATGCTGACGTGTTCGTCATGTCAATATCTGCAACGCACACGTTCGCGCTTGAACGCCCTTACTGCCTCTCAGATATGAATGTTAGTCAGCATAAATTTTTTGCTGTACAATTTATTCAGGCATGAGACTTTACGCAATAAATAATATCAGATATAATGAAAATAAAGCACATTGTAATTAATTTATAAACAGAACTACAATTGATGAAACTGTCTTCTTTCTCATTTAAGGATTCGAGGTACGCCTTTATAACGTCAAAACAAGGGAAGATATCGGATTTGGCCGAAAACGAATCGTTCAAGGAGAACCTATTGGATCAAGACTTGAGTGCGAAAACAGTCCAGACAGTGTGTTCCTAGAGGTACTGTAACTTTTTTC